AGTTGGGGTATGTCCCAATATTTCTAGTCAGTTTAGAGGCTTATTTCAGACATAGATAGATTCAGCTTAGTATTGAGTTAATATATTTCTTTTGTATTAAACTCTCAGATTTGATATATTCAGTTATAGTATATGGGTATTTCCCATCTTTTCAGATTTATTTATGATTTAGCTTCCGCATCAGTTTATTATCTTTAGTATGTTCATGATCATGCCAGCAGGGTTAGCTTGGGATCACTTGTGGTCCTAGGTCCCGTGTCCCCGTCTCGGGGCTAGCTCGGGGCGTGACAGGCACCATTGATTATTGGAAGGAGAAAGATGTGTTGCTAATGAGTTGGATCTCATGCACCTTGACGAAAAAAGTATGCACCTAATTATGGGCTGCTCAACTGCCAAGGAGATGTGGGAATGCTTGGAAAAATCTTATATTCAAGCAACAAAAATAATTATTTTTGCTAAAGGTTTAGGTCTCAAATACAAGACCTTGATCATATTAGGTAAGACACCATATTCCACCCTTAATTAATTTGTTTATGCTCTCACGAGTTTTGATATAATAAAAGATGAAGAAGATGTGCCACAACAAAACCACAACATGGTATTATCTGCTCAAAAAGGCAGAGGAATAGGAAACAACAACATTAACTCTAGAGAAACAGTTTTCAAGCTTGCTGGACAGGGAACAGGTTCTAAGAACAGTCAATATGGACCAGGTTCTCTGAACAATAAAAGTTCTCAAAGTGAAAATAAGGAGAGGAATAATATTGAGTCATGTCAAATCTGTGGTAGGAATAATCATATTGCTCTTAAGTGTTTTTACTGGTGGAACTACTCGTATCAATCTGCAGATGAACTATCACAAGCAATGACTAGACATCACATTCATACAGAAGCATTGACAAAACAAGTTTTTGCTTGGTATTCAATGTTTTTTTTCTGCGTATTCGAATCAAGTTAGGAGTAACCGTTCCTCTACTCACTAGCTTGAGGGGAAGTGTTGAAAAAGAAGGAAACTGATGATTGGAACATGTCAAAGGAACAAGTCCAACGAAGCTGACTGACGTGTCTGCAACACGTGTTGATGAAGAAGGAAGCTGACGATTGGAACATGTCAAAGGAACAGGTTCAATGAAGCTGACTGACGAGTTTACAACACTGCTGTAGAATTAGAGTCACACTAGGATTAGACTACTTATATTAATTAGGATTATATTATGACTAGAATTATATTATGATTAGGATTAGATTACGACTAGGATTAGATTATTTATAATTGCATTATTATTATTATTATTATAGTAGTAATAGGTATTGTAGTAGGACTCTAAGTATAGTTAACTTAGGACTTACAATTCTCTCCCTATATAAGGAGGTTGTAACTTAACATTATTTTCATCAATACAATCCTTGATTTCTCTAATCCTAGACGTGAGATTTCTACAGTTATCAAAGACTTGCAATATGAGATAATATATGAGTAAAGTTGGATGTTCATGTGTGTGTTTGAGTTAATACCTGCGAATCTATCTTAATTTATCGTAGACAAAGATTCAAATCTCATGTTAGGCGAA